GGTCCATAAAGTATTTTACCACTCCAATGACTTTGATACTGTATCAAATGAGATAATGGACTTCAAAGGTCATAGTTGTTTGTGGAGTTTAGTGATGAAAGAACGACCACACCAAATTAACTTGATTGTATAATAATAAATAATAATACATATTATTTACGCCTTTCAAGATACCAAAGGACACTTACAGAGTAAGAAATATAATAAAAATTAACAAAAATAAACATGACACTTCTATAAGCAAAGTACAATACAAAAAGGAGCATGGCACCCCAAAAAATTGCTTCATTACAGTATAGGCCTATCACAGCATTTTATTTAGAATCTAATGTAGCGAAATGTGGAGCACTTATCTACATTTTAAGAGAAGTGGATGCTGTGCGCATTTCTCTTCAATGGCACATGCAGCTTGGACTAAATGTGATTTTGTAAATGATCTAAAGACATGGGCGTGACAAGTTATTTCGAGTGTTCTGGTTTGTGTACATGCTTAGCCTTAAAGTTGTAAATGCGAGGGTACCAGTGCACTTTATGGTGCTAAAGAAGTGCAGGAAGTGGCCTTGTGTTCACTGCATACCACTGATGTTAAGAAGAGAGAGCAGTTTTCTTCTACAGGACTCAACGGGTAAGCACAATATTAATGTCAAATAAACAGAATTTAGCTGTTTAATGGATAGATTTAATGGATAGATCTATGGACAGGGTTTTTCCTTGTGCTGCATCTTTCAAATCAGTGAATTGTTATTGTTTAGTATTTCTGAGAGGCCACGCTAATATCATAAGCTAACCTCCTGTGCTACCAGCTACATCCTTTAGCAAGCTTTGGTCTTTGGTCTACACATAGGATGTTGATCAAAGGACACTAGAAAGTAAGAAAGTAGTTTATGTGTATTACTGTGTAATAACCATTTTGTTATTACACATGGTTGATATACATTTAACATTTTAGTCATTTAGCAGCACTGCTAAATGAGGAGCTGTTAGATGCATGTGATTTGGATGCACATTGTAGAATACAGGACACATGGTGTTCTGCCTATAGGTCATAGTGGCACTCTCGGGATATTTGTCCGTGACGGTGTGACCCCTTTCATTGTTCCATGGTGCTGGGGGGTGGAAAGTCCCACCAACAGCCAGCACACTGTCTGTGACCCTGTGGGCTGAGAGGCTGAATGTATGAGGGCGTCATCCAATCAGCCGTTCTGCCTCAGAGAGCAGGAAGTAGCTTCTCAGGCACGTCGGCCAATGTGGAGCGTGGGCCCCGAGACGAGGCCCTCCGGAAATGAGCCGCTGCTTCTCAGCATTCAGGCAGCGCCTCAAACGGACAGCCTCTCCAGGAGTATCTATCTATTTATTAGTACAGCAGCACACTCTGTCTGTCTGTCCCTGTCTTCTGTCCGTCCGTCTGTCTGCTCAACCTGTCGGAAATAACATGGTAGCGAGGACTGCCTTGCACCACCCATGGCTGTGTCAGTGAGAAAAAAGAAGTTGTTTGTCCTTGCGAGCAAGCCCAGTGTGAGAATGTGTTGGGAACGGGATATCATGTAAGTGTGAGGCGTAATACTTTCCTACCTACTCAGTTTGTTGTATATTTGGTGATGCAGTGAAAGAGAAAGACTTCAGGTCTCAGGTGCCAGTGAGATCATTGATGACAAGTAGCCCTACCAGTGTGGAAGAGGATGGCTATCATGGTTTCAACTATCAACCTTTCTCAACAAGGACTTTATGATGGGCAACAAACACTGTTATGTCATCAATTTAACTGATGGACAGCTTATTTTATTGGGAGTTATAAAGCAAAGGTGTTTGCAACTGTTTAAATACAGTCATATTGAAAATCCTGTTTACAGGAAACGAGATCGCGCTCACAGGCACTCCCATTTGGGAACACACACTTTTACTTTATCACTGTGTTACTCTCTGATTGTGATTAACATGTTCAGGAAAGTAAAAGGGACGCATCCCCTAAACTAAAGCCCTTAGTCCAGAATCTAAACTAAAGCTATTAGTCCTGAATCTAAATTAAAGCTCTTAGTCCTGAATCTAAACTAAAGCTAATAGTCCTGAATCTAAACTAAAGCTCTTAGTCCTGAATCTAAACTAAAGCTCTTAGTTCTGAATCTAAACTAAAGCTCTTAGTCCTGAATCTAAACTAAAGCCCTTAGTCCTGAATCTAAACTAAAGCTATTAGTCCTGAATCTAAACTAAAGCTATTAGTCCTGAATCTAAACTAAAGCTCTTAGTCCTGAATCTAAACTAAAGCTATTAGTTCTGAATCTAAACTAAAGCTCTTAGTCCTGAATCTAAACTAAAGCTCTTAGTCCTGAATCTAAACTAAAGCTCTTAGTCCTGAATCTAATAAGAGGAACTGGTGCTTGTTTTGTCATGTTGCTGCTTTTTTACAGTATTTATTATTCTGGGCATGCACTGCCTCCCTCTGTAATCAGAGTGTGTAATCAGAGTGACAGCTTCCTGTAGAGAGGCCATGCTCATATTAGGAGACAGGAAGTGATGCGGGGGAAAGCCAAGCTCCCCCAAAAAGCAGAATGAGGTTGTTGCTGCTACAGCGTAGCCTGCCATGAGTGAAGGCTGAAAGAAATGCACGTACTCTGTGTTGTCGGAAACTTGGTTGACCAGGGGAACAGAAACTCATCATGTTCCCTACATGGCCTTGCTTACTCTCCTTCCTCTGTGGAGTAGGCCTACACCTTTAGATTGTCCAACAGCTGTGAGTGTTGTACACCTGTTAGACTATGCTCATCAACGTTCTTCATTCGACTGTGGTGGAACCAGCTGCTATCAGCTGAGCAGACATCTGCAAAACCAGAGATATAATCATGAGGTACAAACATGTCAACACTGTGGGTGGGAAATTTATGTCAAAGGTACAGTTAAGGATGCTGATCTTTTCCCCACACCTTTGTGGTTGTTTCCCTTTTAATGTGTAGATCAGGAAGGAAGGAGTAGTGTAAAGTCCCCCAAACATTCTCATGAAAATTGCAAAATCATAGTTGCGTAGATGAGAGCACACTGTGAATCGTTCACACTGTATTTTTGTAGTTTCATTTAGTTTCTCCTCTAGAAACATGGGTTGTGTTGAGTAGTTTGCCGGTGGATTGTTGCATGTAGCAGTAGGAAGTAGGTTTGAATAATAACTTTGTATTCTATACTTGCCACTCCTGTTTACATCTGAGTTCCTGGCAAAAAGGAGTTATCCAATCCTAATTAGCATCTCTGTCTCACTCAGCAGTGAGGTTAGAGAGTTCAGAACACACGTTTGTGCTGAAAAGCCCTTCTTACATTCAAGGTGACTGTGGATTTGGACCTTCCCCCTATACCTATAAAGGGATACTTTGAGATTTTTCCCCAGAGTCAGATGAACTTTATATTTTTATGTCTCTGTGTCCAGTACGAAGGAAGTTGGAGGTAGTTTTGCGAGCCAATGCTTACTAGCATTAGTGCAATGACTGGAAGTCTATGGGTATCTGCTAGCATGCTAAAGTATCCCTTCAATCAAGTAACTCTACCCACATGTACATATTACCTCAACTACCTCAACTAGCCGGTGCCCCCGCACATTGACTCTGCACCGGTACCCCCCTGCATATAGCCTCCCTACTGTTATTTTATTTTACTTCTGCTCTTTTTTTCACAACACTTTTTTTGTTGTTTTATTTTACTTTTTTATTAAGAAATAAATGCATTGTTGGTTAAGGGCTGTAAGTAAGCATTTCACGGTAATGTCTACAACTGTTGTATTCGGCGCATGTGGCAAATAAAATTTGATTTGATTATTACTGACATCAAATAAATCTGAATATTGTTATAAGCCATAGCTCTGATAATGCATTTATATCACCTATTATATATAAGATAAGATTAACTGCAATAAGTTAGGTGTAATGCAAATTATTCTTCACACAAAGAGACCATTCTGTTCATGCAGTCCTTCATTTTTTAATCAGAGAGTAACTTAACCTCTCTTTCCCTTTTACAACCACAAGTATCCAACACAACAAATAGCCAGGGCATGCAGTCAGGTTGGTGGAATGAGTCCGTCCGTAGGTCCCACACCCTGCATGCCTTTTGAACAGCGATTATCACAAACATCAAAAGGTGGCAGCAGGACAGATAAACACTGCCGTTGTCCTTTCAAGTCCCCTTGAAGCAGAGGCCACAAACAGGTCAGAAATTACCAAGCCACCCAACTGAGTCCAAAACATGTCAATCTGCTTGCCTCGTCACAGTCCAATTTAGATGCTAAAGATAGGTCGCATAAACATATTTAAACATGAAAGCGTTTGCAGAAATACTTCATACTTTTCTTCCCCGGCCTAATCCACGAATCAGACTAAACTACATTCCTGCATCCTTATTGAAGCTCCCTGCCTGGCTGTTTCCTCCTGTGGAGAGTTAAATTACCCCTGACTGACTCTGGGGAGAGATGCAGATTACCCATGCCTCATTTCCATCCTCCTCTAACAGTCAGACCTTACGCCTCTGCACTCGTCCCTTGGCTGTCAACGGAAGCCCCTCTCCCCTCATCTGGTGCTCCGCAGTCACTTGTAGAATGAATCAGATTGACTATTTTCTTCCCCTTGCTAGTATATTTGTCCTTGTGGGTTTGGAGGCTGCTGGTTTCCCTGTACTCCCTCCCAGAAGGCAGGCAGCCATCGTCAGGGCAAGGAAAGGCAAGGCAGGCACACTGGGCGGCAAGGCAGGAAGCACACAAAACAGGGTGCAATCAACAGCTCTGAAAGGGCATGAGGCACATTCCAGGGGAAATGTCCAGTTTCCTGTCTGCTTGTCTGGTTCAGGGTCAAGGTTTGAGACTGCAGGTTTTCGACTGTGTTAGGGTTTTAGAGATTTAGAGGAGAGTGTGGTGTGTGTCTCTCTGAGTCTGCCTTAGCGCTCTCTCTCTCCGTCTCGGTCGGATTTAGAAGTTAGCAGAGTCCGAGTGGTGTGGTTCTCTCATTGTGTTTATTCATGTATCTCCTCAGGGAGAGCTCAGCAGTTCAGACCCTCAGGAGACGAATGAGCAGGAGGTAAGCTGCTGCTGGGGCACGTTTCCCAGGCATTATAGGTTTAGATTGGATGGCAGACCTATTGGCTGGGGTGTTTGTTTCTTTGTTTCTATGTAGAATTGATGTGGTGTCATTGTTGATGGAACTTAGTGAGGATAAATTGCAGTGAAATGTTTGCTGTCATGTGAGTTTCAAGTGGAGAGAAAGTTGCTGGGTCAGGATATGTAAGATGTTTCCTATGACTGAGCCATAATGAGATGTTTATTTTATTATGTTGATATGGTCTGAATCCTCAAGTCTTCAAGTGCTGCTTGTTCATGATGTGTTGCTGTTTTTGTGCAATCAGATTCAGAGTTCACTGTGGTGTTATTATTGAAAGATGCAGCTGCTGAGAGAATAATTTAGCGTTACATCTCAGAAATGTCAAGTTAGATAAACATATATGAACCGATATGTTCAGCCCACTGCCAGCTCTGTGATGTGTACTGTGGTGTATGATGTGTTATTTCTCCCTCCTTGTACCCTCAGAAACATGACTTCAGTAGAGGTCTCCTGGCCCGTCCCCATGAGGGCCATCGGCGCTCAGAACCTGCTCACCATGCCAGGGGGTGTGTGCCACTCTGGTTACGTGCACAAGAAAGGAGGGAGCCAGTTCAGCCTTATGAAGTGTGAGTAGCCTTACAGTACATAACATTACTTACATACAGTGGGGAGAACAAGTATTTGATACACTGCCGATTTTGCACGTTTTCCTACTTACAAAGCAAGTAGAGGTCTGTAATTGTTTATCATAGGTACACTTCAACTGTGAGAGACGGAATCTAAAACAAAAATCCAGAAAATCACATTGTATGATTTTTAAGTAATTAATTTGCATTTTATTGCATGACATAAGTATTTGATACATCAGAAAAGCATAACTTAATATTTGGTACAGAAACCTTTGTTTGCAATTACAGAGATCATACGTTTCCTGTAGGTCTTGACCAGGTTTGCACACACTGCAGCAGGGATTTTGGCCCACTCCTCCATACAGACCTTCTCCAGATCCTTCAGGTTTCGGGGCTGTCGCTGGGCAATACAGACTTTCAGCTCCCTCCAAAGATGTGCTATTGGGTTCAGGTCTGGAGACTGGCTAGGCCACTCCAGGACCTTGAGATGCTTCTTACGGAGCCACTCCTTAGTTGCCCTGGCTGTGTGTTTCGGGTCGTTGTCATGCTGGAAGACCCAGCCACGACCCATCTTCAATGCTCTTACTGAGGGAAGGAGGTTGTTGGCCAAGATCTCACGATACATGGCCCCATCCATCCTCCCCTCAATACGGTGCAGTCGTCCTGTCCCCTTTGCAGAAAAGCATCCCCAAAGAATGATGTTTCCACCTCCATTCTTCACGGTTGGGATGGTGTTCTTGGGGTTGTACTCATCCTTCTTCTTCCTCCAAACACGGCGAGTGGAGTTTAGACCAAAAAGCGCTATTTTTGTCTCATCAGACCACATGACCTTCTCCCATTCCTCCTCTGGATCATCCAGATGTTCATTGGCAAACTTCATACAGGCCTAGACATGCGCTGGCTTGAGCAGGGGGACCTTGCGTACGCTGCAGGATTTTAATCCATGACTGCGTAGTGTGTTACTAATGGTTTTCTTTGAGACTGTGGTCCCAGCTCTCTTCAGGTCATTGACCAGGTCCTGCCGTGTAGTTCTGGGCTGATCCCTCACCTTCCTCATGATCATTGATGCCCCACGAGGTGAGATCTTGCATGGAGCCCCATACCGAGGGTGATTGACCATCATCTTGAACTTCTTCCATTTTCTAATAATTGTTGCCTTCTCACCAAGCTGCTTGCCTATTGTCCTGTAGCCCATCCCAGCCTTGTGCAGGTCTACAATTTTATCCCTGATGTCCTTACACAGCTCTCTGGTCTTGGCCATTGTGGAGAGGTTGGAGTCTGTTTGATTGAGTGTGTGGACAGGTGTCTTTTATACAGGTAACGAGGTCAAACAGATGCAGTTAATACCGGTAATGAGTGGAGAACAGGAGGGCTTCTTAAAGAAAAACTAACAGGTCTGTGAGAGCCGGAATTCTTACTGGTTGGTAGGTGATCAAATACTTATGTCATGCAATAAAATGCAAATGAATTACTTAAAAATCATACAATGTGATTTTCTGGATTTTAGTTTTAGATTCCGCCTCTCACAAATTGCAATATCCGTACTGTGAGACGCCTAAGACAACGCTACAGGGAGACAGGATGGACAGCTGATCGTCCTCGCAGTGGCAGACCACATGTAACAACACCTGCACAGGATCAGTACATCCGAACATCACACCTGCGGGACAGGTACAGGATGGCAACAACAACTGCCAGAGTTACACCAGGAACGCACAATCCCTCCATCAGTGCTCAGACTGTCTGCAATAGGCTGAGAGAGGCTGGACTGAGGGCTTGTAGGCCTGTTGTAAGGCAGGTCCTCACCAGACATCACCGGCAACAACGTTGCCTATGGGCACAAACCCACCGTCGCTGGACCAGACAGGACTGGCAAAAAGTGCTCTTCACTGACGAGTCGCGGTTTTGTCTCACCAGGGGTGATTTGCATTTATCGTCGAAGGAATGAGCGTTACACCGAGGCCTGTACTCTGGAGTGGGATCGATTTGGAGGTGGAGGGTCCGTCCTGGTCTGGGAGGTGTGTCACAGCATCATCGGACTGAGCTTGTTGTCATTGCAGGCAGTCTCAATGCTGTGCGTTACAGGGAAGACATCCTCCTCCCTCATGTGATACCCTTCCTGCAGGCTCATCCTGACATGACCCTCCAGCATGACAATGCCACCAGCAATACTGCTTGTTCTGTGCGTGATTTCCTTCAAGACAGGAATGTCAGTGTTCTGCCATGGCCAGCGAAGAGCCCGGATCTCAATCCCATTGAGCACGTCTGGGACCTGTTGGATTGGAGGGTGAGGGCTAGGGCCATTCCCCCCAGAAATGTCAGGGAACTTGCAGGTGCCTTGGTGGAAGAGTGGGGTAACATCTCACAGCAAGAACTGGCAAATCTGGTGCAGTCCATGAGGAGGAGATGCACTGCAGTACTTAATGCAGCTGGTGGCCACAGCAGATACTGACTGTTACTTTTGATTTTAACCCCCCCTTTGTTCAGGGACACATTATTCAATTTCTGTTAGTCAAATGTCTGTGGAACTTGTTCAGTTTATGTCTCAGTAGTTGAATCTTGTTATGTTCATACAAATATTTACACGTTAAGTTTGCTGAAAATAAACGCAGTTGACAGTGAGAGGACGTTTCTTTTTTTGCTGAGTTTACATACATACATACATTCATTCATACATTACATGGCTCATTAATGTTTACTGTACCAAGAGATTCTGGGATTCTGACAAAGGTCTGAGATGAGTGGCACTGCATACTTTCATCTCATCACAACGTTTAGTTCACCAGTCCCTTGCAGGGTTGGAGATTCATCAAATTAGGAGAACATATTTGCTTTTATGCATGGCTTATGAGTGAGACCTTTCCTTATGTTTTCTTTCCTTCTGCAATCTTTCAGGGCCTCTTCGCTACTTAATCATCCACAAGGGATGTGTGTATTACTTCAAGAGCAGCACCAGTCCTGCACCGCAAGGAGCTTTCTCTCTCAATGGCTACAACAGGTCAGTGTCCACTATTGTGTCCTCTCTGGACAACATGCAGTTGTCTTTTTGCACAGAAGTACATTAATTTGAATAGGCTTTGGCAAAACATGTTGGCATTCTCACATAGGCATACATATGTTTATCAATGTTTAAAATACAGCTGGCATTGTCAGTTGCAATCAGTTTGTTATGCTGAGAAATCCTGATCAGATGAGAAAGTCTGTTGACAATGAAAGCATTTCTCAATGTGCTGTTCTTTCCCACCTGGACAAAAGGAACCCCTATGTGAGAATGCTGTTCATTGACTATAGCTCAGCGTTCAACACCATAGTGCCCTCCAAGCTCATCACTAAGCTAAGGACCCTGGGACTGAACACCTCCCTCTGCAACTGGATCCTGGACTTCCTGATGGGCCGCCCCCAGGTGGTGAGGGTAAGCAACAACACATCCGCCACGTTGACCCTCAACACGGGGGCCCCTCAGGGGTGAGTGCTTAGTCCGCTCCTGTACTCCCTGTTCACCCACGACTGCGTGGCCGCGCACGTCTCCAACACCATCATTAAGTTTGCCGACGACACGATGGTGGTAGGCCTGATCACTGACGACGATGAGACAGTCTATAGGGAGGAGGTCAGAGACCTGGCAGTGTGGTGCCAGGACAACAACCTCTCTCTCAACGTGAACAAGACAAAGGAGCTGATCGTGAACTACAGGAAACGGAGGGCCGAGCACGTCCCCATTCACATCGACAGGGCTGTAGTGGAGCGGGTCGAGAGCTTCAAGTTCCTCAGTGTCCACATCACTAAGGTCCTATCATGGTCCAAACACACAACAACGCCTCTTCCCCCTCAGGAGGCTGAAAATATTTGGCATGGGCCCTCAGATCCTCCAAAAGTTCTACAGCTGCACCATTGAGAGCATCTTGACTGACTGCATCACCGCTTGGTATGGCAACTGCTTGGCATCCGACCGCAAGGCGCTACAGAGGGTAGTGCATGCGGCCCAGTACATCACTGGGGCCGAGCTCCCTACCATCCAGGACCTCTATACCAGGCGGGGTCAGAGGAAGGCCCTAAGAATTTTAAAAGACTCCAGCCACCCAAGTCATAGACTGTTCTCTCTGCTACCGCACACCAAGTCTGGGACCAAAAGGTTATTGAACAGCTTCTACCCCCAAGCCATAAGACTGCTGAACAGTTAATATAATGGCTACCCGGACTATTTGCATTGACCCCCTTTTTTATTTGCACTGACTCTCTTGCACTGGCTCTATGCACACTCACTGGACTCTACTCACACACACACACTCCCACTAGATATGCTCACACACACAAAACACACAAACACATGCATATTGACGCCACACACACACGCACACATTGACACACTTTCAAACTCTTTCACACTCTTCACATAAGCTTCTGCTACTCTGTTTACTATCTATCCTGATTGCCTAGTCACCCCTACCTACATGTACATAATACCTCAACTACCTCGTACCCCTGCACATTGACTCGGTACCGGTACTCCTTGTATATAGTCTTGTTATTGTTATTTTATTGTGTTACTATTTCCTTTTCTTAAACATTTTGACAACTTTTCTTGTTGGGAAAGGGCTCGTAAGCATTTTCTGTGGTAAAGTCTACACCTGTTGTATTCGGCGCATGTAACAAATACAATTTGATTTGATTTTGAGTGTTGATGTGCCACTTCCTGCTGATTGAGATCATCTCTATAAAGGTCTCGAGGTTTCGCTTACTATTACCAAACACAGGGGGGGACTCGTCATATTAATTCCTACATCAGGTCACAAGCCAATAATAGAGACAGCAATGTTCAACCATCTCTTTTCCATTTTTGTTTGACATTTGGAAAAGTTAAAGTGGCTATTGAAGTAGGCCCTAGCTTAGTCTGTGGTGTTTTCATTGAGTTCCTCCCTCTAATGAGTCCTTCCCTATAGAGGTATGCTGCAATTCCATGGTGGTAACTGTGTAATTACATGTCTGGAGTCTCCTCTCCATGCTCAGGCTGAGTATAAATAGAGCTTTAATACAGCTGTGCAGCTCTGGCACACTGAAACATGGCCAGACCTAATCAGCTCACACAGCATACAGTATGTGACATAGAAGTCATTATATGTTATTACAGCAATAATGTGATGAAAACGGTAATACATTAATAAACCAATGACACAGTTGCCAGATGGTTTTACCCACAAAATGTGAAATTGGATTGGTTAGAGTGAGGCCCCCCCCCCCCCCCCCCCCCCCCCCGCTTTTGCTCTCAGAACAGCCTCAATTCGTCGAGGCATGGACTCTACAAGGTGTCGAAAGCTTTCCACAGGGATGCTGGCCCATGTTGACTCCAATGCTTCCCACAGTTGTCAAGTTGGCTGGATGTCCTTTGGGTGGTGGACCATTTTTTATACACATGGGAAACTGTTACGCGTGAAAAACGGAGCAGCGTTGCAGTTCTTAACACAAACTGGTGCACCTAGCACCTACTACCATATCCCTTTCAAAGGCACTTAAATCTTTTGTCTTGCCCATTCACTCTCTGAACAGCACACATACACAATCCATGTCTCAGTTGCCTCAAGGCTTAAAAAACCTTCTTTAATCTGTCTCCTCCCCTTCATCTACACTGATTTGAAGTGAATTTAACAAGTGACATCAATAAGGGATCATAGCTTTCACCTGGTCAGTCTGTCATGGAAAGAGCAGGTGTTCTTCATGTTTTGTACACTCAATTTGTTTCATAAATGTAGGCCTACGTATGTAGTGTTCTCCAATGTGTGGTTTCAGTTTCTTTTCCTCTCGTTGCCAGGGTGATGAGGGCAGCAGAAGAGACCACCTCCAGTAACGTGTTTCCCTTCAAAATCGTCCACTTCAGTAAGAAGCACCGTACCTGGTACTTCTCAGCAGCCAGTGAGGATGAGAGAAGGGTGAGGGGCGATACGTACAGATTAATAACCTCTCACATTCCTGGTAACACTACATAGATAATGGTGTGTGTGTGTGTGACCAGTCAAAAATGTGGACACACCTACTCATTCAAGAGTTTTTCTTTATTTTTTACTATGTTCTACATTGTAGAATAATAGTGAAGACATCAAAACTATGAAATAAAACATATGGAATCATGTAGTAACCATAAAAGTGTTAAACAAATCAAAATATATTTGGGATTTTTCAAAGTAGCCACCCATTGCCTTGATGACAGCTTTGCACACTCTTGGCATTCTCTCAACCAGCTTAACCTGGAATGCTTTTCCAACAGTCTTGAAGGAGTTCCCACATATATGCTGAGCACTTGTTGGCTGCTTTTCCTTCACTCTGCGGTCCAACTCATCCCAAACCATCTCAATTGGGTTGAGGTTGGGTGATTGTGGAGGCCAGGTCATCTGATGCAGCACTGCATCACTCTCCTTCTTGGTCAAATAGCCCTTGCACAGCCTGGAGGTGTGTTGGGTGATTGTCCTGTTGAAAAACAAATTATAGTCCCACTAAGTGCAAACCCGATGGGATGGCGTATCGCTGCAGAATGCTGTGGTAGCCATTCTGGTTAAGTGTGCCTTCAATTCTAAATAAATCACTGACAGTGTCACCAGCAAGGCACCCCCACACCATCACACCTCCTCCTCCATGCTTCACGGTGGGAACCACACATGCAGAGATCATCCGTTCACCTATTCTGCATCTCACAAAGACACGGCGGTTGGAACCAAAAATCGTAAATCTGGACTCATCAGACCAAAGGACAGATTTCCACCGGTCTAATATCCATTGCTCGTGTTTCTTGGCCCAAGCAAGGCTCTTCTTATTATTGGTGTCCTTTAGTAGTGGTTTCTTTGCAGCAATTCGACCATGAAGGCCTGATTCATGCAGTCTCCTCTGAACAATTGATGTTGAGATGTGTCTGTTACTTGAACTCTGTGAAGCATTTATTTGGGCTGCAATTTCTGAGGCTGGTAACTCTAATGAACTTATCCTCTGCAGCAGAGGTAACTCTGGGTCTTCCTTTCCTGTAGCGGTCCTCATGAGAGCCAGTTTCATCATAGCGCTTGATGATTTTTGTGACTGCACTTCAAGAAGCTCTACAAGTTCTTGACATTTTCCGTATTGACTGACCTTCATGTCTTAAAGTAATGATGGACTGTGGTTTCTCTTTGCTTATTTGAGCTGTTCTTGCCATAATATGGACCTGGTCTTTTACCAAATAGAGCTATCTTCTGTATACCAACCCTACCTTGTCACAACACAACTGAAAGCAATTCCACTTATTAACTTTTAACAAGGCACACCTGTTAATTGAAATGCATTCCAGGTGACTACCTCATGAAGCTGGTTGAGAGAATGCCAAGAGTGTGCAAAGCTGTCATCAAGGCAAAGGGTGGCTACTTTGAAGAATCTAAAATCTAAAATATATTTTGATTTGTTTAACACTTTTTTGGTTACTACATGATTCCATGTGTGTTCTTTCATAGTTTTGATGTCTTCACTATTATTCTACAATGTAGAAAATAGTAAAAATAAAGAAAAACCCTGGAATGAGTAGGTGTGTCCAAACTTTGGACTGGTACTGGTATGTGTGTGTGTGTGTGTGTGTGTGTGTGTGTGTGTGTGTATATATATATATATATATATATATATATATATATATATATACACTACATGACCAAAAGTATGTGGACAGCTGCTCGTCGAACATCTCATTCCAAAACAATAGGCATTAATATGGAGTTGGTCCCCCCTTCAATGGGGTTGAGGTCAGGGCTCTGTGCAGGCACCTCATTTTGTGCACGGGGGCATTGTCATGCTGAAACAGGAAAGGGCCTTCCCCAAACTGTTGCCATAAAGTTGGAAGCACATAATCGTTTAGAATGTCATTGAATGCTGTAGCGTAAAGATTTCCCTTCGCTGGAACTAAGGGGCCTAGCCCAAACCATGACAAACAGCCCCAGACCATTATTCCTCCTCCACCAAACTTTATAGTTGGCACTATGCATTCGGGCAGGTAGCGTTCTCCTGGTATCCGCTAAAACCAGATTAGTCCGTCGGACTGCCAGATGGTGAAGCGTGCTTCATCACTCCAGAGAACGTGTTTCCACTGCTCCAGAGTCCAATGACGGTGACCACTCCAGTCGACGCTTGGCATTGCGCATGGGGATGTTAGGCTTATGTGCGTCTGCTTGGCCATGGAAACCCATTTCATTAAGCTCCCGACGAACAGTTATTGTGCTGACGTTGCTTCCAGAGGCAGTTTGGAACTCGGTAGTGACTGTTGCAACCGAGGACAGATTATTTTTACACGCTACACGCTTCAGCACTCAGCGGTCCCATTCTGTGAGCTTGTGTGGCCTACCACTTTGCGGTTGAGCCGTTGTTGCTCCTAGACGTTTCCACTTCACAATAACAGCACTTACAGTTGACCGGGGCAGCTCTAGCAGGGCAGAAATGAGACGTACTGACTTGTTGGAAAGGTGGATGGTGCCACATTGAAAGTCACTGAGCTCTTCAGTAAGGCCATTCTACTGCCAATGTTTGTCTATGGAGATTGCATGGCTGTGTTCTCGATTTTATATACCTGTCAGCAACGGGTGTGGCTGAAATAGCTGAATCCACTAATTTGAAGGGTTGTCCACATACTTTTGTATATACAGTGTATATATATACATAGGGAAATGTATGCACTCACTACTTACTGTAAGGCGCTCTGGATAAGAGCATCTGCCAAATGACTAAAATTTAAATGTTTATGATTATTTTTGTCTACTAACAGAAATGGATGCGAAATCTGCGGAAAGAAATTGATCACTACAATGACAGAAGGGATTCACATGTTTCAAGGTAAGTCAACACAACCATTCCTTCACACAATCATATCATCTGTGGTGACTTCCTTTTTCTGATAAATGGTAGACTGTTTGGCTGCATGCTCTGATTGACTTTCTGAGCCTGCAGTTTTTATCTCCTAGATGAATATACAGTGTAAGCTCTTGCTGTGTTATAACAAGTATGAATGGGAGTCAGTGTATACATGATCAGTGAATTAATTAAATACAAGGTGATTCATGTAGTCCTCTCTTTGTCCTTAGTAGCCAATAACAATACTCTGTTGCCATAGTGACTCCGAATCTGATGCAGACAGCTTCTATGGATCGATCGAGTGCCCCATGGACATAACCCATGCCCCAGATGACCCAGAAGGCAGTAAGACATAATCACTTCTGAAGCAATGCGTCTCAGTTTCACAACACTTGTTTCATACAATTAACTCTGTGCACTAACAATTATGTCATTTCTAGATTACATGTTAGAGGATGAAGAAGACGATGAGGATGACTATGAAAAACCAGACAGCCCAGCAACATCTACTGGTAGGCCTACAGAATAGTACATATCTTTGAGTTTGATGCTGTATTTGATGTGGCTGGTGCTATAACTGTGATAAACTGCCCTTGATGGGATTGGCATGTCATCACAATTCAAACTAATGGCCCCATCTTTTATGGCTAAATGATAACTATGCTGAAATCATTTTGTATCCTAACTTTTTGTCAGTGATTTACTGTATTACAAATGCACATTTTCCAGTTTTTTTTCTGTCACTGAATACCGTATTATGCTGCTATTGAAGGAAGGCCAACCGTCCCACCACCATCCTACCCACCTCCCCCAGTCCCATGCCAGTTCAGAATGGAATCCATGTCAGGATTCTGCAAAGGTCTCCCCCCTCCCGTGCCTGCCCCCAACAGGAGCACCACCAGCCCCCTTCCAAAGAAACCGCCAGCGCCCTTACCTCCACCCAAGCTCGGAGAGGTCAGCCACAACCAACATGGACACAAGGACATCCCAAACAAGGGCCCCCCTCGTCCTCCTCCCACCCACCTCAAGCCTAGCTCAGAGAGGAGTGCATGGAGTCCTAAGAGCCCGATACCCCCTCCCCCTCCCATGGCCAGCCTAAAGATGCAAGCGATGATGGGGCAGATTTCTATCTCCACCATACCTGGGGGGAAACACAAAGACAGGATGCCCCCTGTTCCAGTGACCCTGCAGTCTCCCGCCACCCTGTCCATCTGCAGCGACCTGGAAAGGAAGATGGTGCTGCATTCCAGCCCTAGTCCACCTGGTTGCCGTGGCAACAACCCCAGTCACATTCCGAGCATGCCCAACCACTGCCTCAGCTCTAGACCAGCTCCAGATCTCCCACCACAGGCCTTGCCAGCACTGAACCACACCAAGCCTGGACTGTACAAACCACCCCTGGTACCCAAACTTCCATGTCCTGCGGTCAAGCCTAAACTACCCAGAGGGTCAGCACAGTAAGTGTCTCCTTTCAATTTCCTACAGATACAGGTAATCCCTGTTTCCTTTCAGGGAAACTCTATGAAAACTCTATGAATTATTCATAGAGTTTTCAGGAAAACTCTATGAATTATAATTTGATTTCAAGATTGTTATATTGTAATCTTTTACAACGCACAAATACAGCACAGTTTAAAACACCCATTTCTTCTCAGAAGATCTTCTCCAGATGGACAAAGCTTCCGGACCACAGTGGACGAGGTGCCTGCCTCTTTCAGAAAGAGCAGGGATCCATCCAAGGACACTGATGATGACTCTGATGAAGACTATGAGAATGTAAGCAGTCTCTATATTCTCATTTCCATTTTTGCCATTTAGCAGACGCTCTTATCCAGAGCGACTTACAGGAGCAATTAGGGTCAAGTGCCTTGCTCAATGGCACAGACAGAATTTTCACCTAGTCGACTCAGGGATTCAAACCAGTGACCTTTCGGTTACTGGCCCAATGCTCTTAACTGCTAGGCTACCTGCCACCCGTTCTCCATCGACTATAACTCTACTTTACACAGGCTATGAGAAAAACACCTGCGTTATGTGTTATGGTTTTGTTGTCATGTTTACTCAATTCCATAGTCTCATTGAACAAAATCATGTTCAGTGTACTATAGCTTAGTCTCATTGATCAGTGTACTATAGATTAGTCTCATTGACCAGTGTACTATAGATTAGTCTCATTGACCAGTGTACTATAGATTAGTCTCATTGACCAGTGTACTATAGATTAGTCTCATTGATCAGTGTACTATAGATTAGTCTCATTGATCAGTGTACTATAGATTAGTCTCATTGACCAGTGTACTATAGATTAGTCTCATTGACCAGTGTACTGTAGATTAGTCTCATTGATCAGTGTACTATAGATTAGTCTCATTGACCAGTGTACTATAGATTAGTCTCATTGATCAGTGTACTATAGATTAGTCTTGGCCTGCTTGATGCAAATCTAACCTTCTAATGTGTCTTGTTGTTTTCTTTTCGCACGTTGTTTCTGACCTCAGATGCAATTACCAGATTCTGTGTTCATGGACACAACAGAAACAACCAATATTGAAAAGTAAGACATACTTAATTATTTCTGTACTGAACATTTGTTGAACCCCCCCTTGTTCATTTTTGTGAAATGGTTTTAAGTGCCCACTAGTGTTTGATCAGGGTGTGTTCGACCACTTCCTGATAATCAAGTCTCTGTTTTCTCTTGAGAGAAGAGCAGAACACATGTCTGACTGCAGTCTGACTGATACATTATTAATGTGCTTTAATTGCAGGTTATTTAAGGAAAGCTCCAGAACACCGCAGGATGGTCTCTACTGCTTCAGGAACTCAGGAACAAAGACATCAAAGGTACAAAATGCATTTACATTTACATTTTAGTCATTTAGCAGACGCTCTTATCCAGAGCGACTTACAGTTAGTGCATTCATCTTAAGACAGCTAGGTGGGATAACCACATATCACAGGCATAGTAAGTACACTTTTCCTCAATAAAGTAGCTATCAGCAAAGTCAGGGGGGTCGAGGTGAGGAGGGGGATTCTTTGAAGTGTTAGGGTTTCAGTTGCTTTTCGCACCAACACATGCTGTGATGCATAAACATCTAGGGATTCACCACACATCACACAGTGATAATTGAAAGGAAACTGGTTTAGTGAATAATGTACATTTGTTCTCATTGAATAAGGTGCTGGTGGTGTGGGATGTGAGTGTGTGCAAGGCCAGAAACTACCGGCTCTTTGAGGAGGTCAGAACCACTGTCTTTACCTTCTCTGTCTACCAGGTCGATTGTCTGACAAAATCAATATTACAATGGAGGATTCCAGTACTATCTCTGTGTTGTTTGATGTTAATTTTATTGTGTTTGTTTATGGTTTAGGACTCCCGGGTGTTCTTGGAGTTAGAGATGACATTTCCCTCCCTGTCAGCCCTAGTGGAGCACTACCATAGCCACCCTCTACCCAATCACGGCTCTCTGTGTCTGCAGAAGCCATATGGTTACATCGTGCCAAGGTGACCCCGCCATGACCCCATCCTGAGGTCACGGCCTCATCTGCCCATATGGAGCCTCTCCTCTTTGGCGTCTACCATGGTTCTGCCACCGTAATGAACTACAGTAGAAACCTACTACAACAGAAACACAGCCACAGTGTCCACTGTAAAGCAAGGCAGATTGTTGCATCTCTGTAACAGAGCCTGAGTAAATGTTGGAGCGGTTCTGATGAGCATCATGGCATGGATTCTAGCCCTAAACAACCTTTGGGCAGAGGTGCAACGAGTGCAGATGGTTGCAGTTGTTGAAGAAAATATGGCATCTGTGACAATGAGGACAATGATCTGTATAGGTCTTTCTGTATGCTCAACTGGAGTGCCACAGGTTTACAGAACACAGTTGTATTATGTGAGGACTACTGCAGGACTAGTTCTGTAAAGGTCTGTCATTACACTGGATAGCAGCAGGTGAACTGCTGTGGTGTTGCCAAGAATACATGTTGGAGCAAGCAAATGTTAAGATTTGTGGGTTGAATGCACATAAATCTCAGTGCACAAAACCAGTGATATCTATGATCATGTAATCACACTTTAAATGAAACTGTCCACACATGTAGTATTGCACTGTATAGAATTGTATGTATTGTAAAAATCATTTTGTAAAGTTGTAAAAATATTATTTCGGATTATATAAAAATGTTTTTATAATGTATAACTGGATAACAGCAGAAGGCAGGTGTAGATTCCATTGGGTGGCGCTGTTTGGTGCCGCACCATGTAACCATGCCCATGCAATAGTCTGAGTGTGACTCAAGATGCAAATCACTCCTCCATTTCCTAGTTGCTAAAATTATAATAGTTTGCCTAATTTCAGTTTATGTAACAGAACAATCAGTCATTGTGTATGGAATCATTGTACCATCTACACTGCTGTTAAATATCTTTACCATAACCAAAAATATTGTATTTTAAGCTGGTGTACAAAACCAAAATTAAAAGATGCAAAAACGAAAATTAAGAAGGGGAAGCATAGAAATAGTGCACATAGAACAGCTCTCTTTCAACGAGAATGAAAGATCTATGACTTACATATTGTAGCTTTAAGTCATAGAAAATAATGAACTGAAATGACATCCACATAATTACAATCAGACTTTTTCAGTAGAGAGAATTTTAGGTGAAACCATGGCTACTATATACTTCTATGTTGTAATCTTGTCTCATCTGTGTGTTATTCTCCAGCCCCGAGGACAAGTGCAACAGAATCACACACTGGACACACACTGATAGTGCTGGGCAGATATTAGCTCAGATAAAATCTAAAGCCACCATTTTTCACCCTCATTTTCATTATCTCCAGCACAATACCAGTGTCTACATATGTGAAAACGGTGCATTTTTACGTTTTGTAGGAAAAAAATATCAAGTTAAAAAGGTCTCCCTCGTTGCAGGTTTTGAAAATCACTTTTTCTTACTTTTAAACCTACCCTGTGACGTCACAGAGAAGCGTTAAAAAAAAATATATAACAATAATACATTTAATTTGTATAGCGCTTTTCATTAGTGTTACCCAAAGCTCTACATAGGCAAAAAAATGTAATAATGATAAAAATATATATATACAATATAAACATCATATATTTAAAATCAAGGCAGGAAATAGCAATTTATAAATCCTAAAAAGACTATAAGAAAGATAGTCTGTAGAAATGTGTTTTACGGCTCGTTTTAAAAGTTCAAATTTTAGTACCTTTCTTCTTATCATTTTAACCACAGATCATCGAAACGCACTGTTTTAACCTATGTAGACACTGGTTTGGTGCTGAGATAATGAATATGAGGTTGAAAAGTGGCAGAATTGCCCTTTAAGGAATGCTACAGCAGCAACACAAGCATCAGAGGAGCTGGTTCATTAAACATGCATACTAAATAAATCATAATGATATCGTGATTAATATTCAATGTTTTCACATCTTACTCAGTGAGGAGAATTGAGATTATATAACGTCTCTTTCAGACCTTGACAAGGAAGGAAGCCAGAAGAAATAGCGCTCTAAATCACTTCTTATGTCTGTCTCTCCTCTCTCCTCTACTCTGCCACAGCCATATCACCACCATCATCACCACGTTAGCAGCACAGGATATTAGAGCACTGTTCTTCAACTGGTTCATTAAATGGGAGTCAGCGAAGACGAACACCAATGCAAATGAGAATTTATGAAGGCAGGATTACAAGGATCCATCGCTGTGAATTAATTAACACAGTCTAGAGACAGCACTGACAGAATGATAGTATCTAATATGTCAAAATCCATTAAATTGAACATTTTAAAAGCTAGTTGACAGTGGTAAATGACTCAATTAAATTATATTCGATGTTGAAACTACAGATATTTTGGTTAAGTCTCATTCTCTCGTAGAAAATATTATATCACTGTTAGGGAATCATTAACTTGATTCAGAATTGTGCACACAACCATTTCAATGTATTCAATCTTAGGTAGTATATCCTTTTCCAATCCATACTATTACAGTACTTAACCTGAGTTTACTTGTTTGCTACATTGTAAATGTATGTATTGGCATGTAAACATCAATGTCTGCAAACAACACTAAATCCTGGGTTTACGTTTGCAAACAGCTCTAAATTATGGATTCCTAATTATGGAAAGAGAGAGAGACAGCGAAAGAGAGAGAGGGCCTTCTATGCCATCAAAAGGAACATAAATGTGACATACCAATTACAGCGGGGAAAAAAAGTATTTAGTCAGCCACCAATTGTGCAAGTTCTCCCACTTAAAAAGATGAAAGAGGCCTGTAATTTTAATCATAGGTACACATCAACTATGACGGACAAAATGAGAGACAAAAATCCAGAAAATCACATTGTAGGATTTTTTATGAATTTATTTGCCAATTATGGTGGAAAATAAGTATTTGGTCAATAACAAAAGTGTCTCAATACTTTGTTATATACCCTTTGTTGGCAATGACACAGGTCAAACAATGACACAGGTCTTCACTAGGTTTTCACACACTGTTGCTGGTATTTTGGCCCATTCCTCCATGCAGATCTCCTCTAGAGCAGTGATGTTTTGGGGCTGTCGCTGGGCAACACGGACTTTCAACTCCCTCCAAAGATTTTCTATGGGGTTGAGATCTGGAGACTGGCTAGGCCACTCCAGGACCTTGAAATGCTTCTTACGAAGCCACTCCTTCGTTGCCCGGGCGGTGTGTTTGGGATCATTGTCATGCTGAAAGACCCAGCCACGTTTCATCTTCAATGCCCTTGCTGATGGAAGGAGGTCTTCACTCAAAATCTCACGATACATGGCCCCATTCATTCTTTCCTTTACACGGATCAGTCGTCCTGGTCCCTTTGCATGAAAAACAGCCCCAAAGCATGATGTTTCCACCCCCATGCTTCACAGTAGGTATGGTGTTCTTTGGATGCAACTCAACATTCTTTGTCCTCCAAACACGACGAGTTGAGTTTTTACCAAAAAGTTATATTTTGGTTTCATCTGACCATATGACATTCTCCCAATCCTCTTCTGGATCATCCAAATGCACTCTAGCAAACTTCAGACGGGCCTGGACATGTACTGGCTTAAGCAGGGGGACACGTCTGGCACTGCAGGATTTGAGTCCCTGGTGGCGTAGTGTGTTACTGATGGTAGGCTTTGTTACTTTGGTCCCAGCTCTCTGCAGGTCATTCACTAGGTCCCCCCGTGTGGTTCTGGGATTTTTGCTCACCGTTCTTGTGATCATTTTGACCCCACGGGGTGAGATCTTGCGTGGAACCCCAGATCGAGGGAGATTATCAGTGGTCTTTTATGTCTTCCATTTCCTAATAATTGCTCCCACAGCTGATTTCTTCAAACCAAGCTGCTTACCTATTGCAGATTCAGTCTTCCCAGCCTGGTGCAGGTCTACAATTTTGTTTCTGGTGCCCTTTGACAGCTCTTTGGTCTTGGCCATAGTGGAGTTTGGAGTGTGACTGTTTGAGGTTGTGGACAGGTGTCTTTTATACTGATAACAAGTTCAAACAGGTGCCATTAATACAGGTAAAGAGTGGAGGACAGAGGAGCCTCTTAAAGAAGAAGTTACAGGTCTGTGAGAGCCAGAAATCTTGCTTGTTTGTAGGTGACCAAATACTTATTTTCCACCATAATTTGCAAATAGATTCATTAAAAATCCTACAATGTGATTTTCTGGATTTTTTTTCTTCTCAATTTGTCTGTCATAGTTGACGTGTATCTATGATGAAAATGACAGGCCTCTCTCATCTTTTTAAGTGGGAGAACTTGCAGAATTGGTGGCTGACTAAATACTTTTTTCCCCCCACTGTAGGATCTGGCTAAAAATACTTGAATCAGTTATAGAACCCATTGCCCTTTGTGGTTGTGAGGTCTGTCGTCCGCTCACCAACCAATAATTTACTAAATGGGACAAACATCAAATTGAGACTGCATGCAGAATTCTGCAAAAATATCCCCCGTGTACAATGTAAAACACCAAATAACGCATGCAGAGGAAAATGTGTCCGAAACCTGCTAATTATCAAAATCCAGAAAAGAGCCGTTAAATTCTACAACCACCTAAAAGGAAGCAATTCCCAAACCTTCCATAATAAAGCCATCACCTACAGAGAGATTAACCTGAAGAAGAGTACCCTAAGCAAGCTGGGCCTGGGGCTCTGTTCACAAACGCAAACAGACCCCACAGAGCCCCAGGATAGCAACAGAATTAGACCCAACCAAATCATGAGAAAACAAAAAGAATTACTTGACACATACAGTGCATTCGGAAAGTATTCACACCCCTTGACTTTTTCCACATCTTGTCACGTTACAGCCTCATTCTAAAATGGATGAAATATTTTTTCCCCCCTCACCAATCTACACACAATACCCCATAATGACAAAGTGAAGACAGGTTTTTCAAAATTTTTGCAAATGTATAAAAAATATAAAACAGAAATACCTTATTTACATAAGTATTCAGACCCTTTGCTATGAGTCTCGGAAATGAGCTCAGGTGCATCCTGTTTCCATTGATCATCCTTGAGATGTTTCTACAACTTGATTGGAGTCCACCTTTGGTACATTCAATTGATTGGACATGATTTGGAATGGCACACACCTGTCTATATAAGGTCCCACAGTTGACAGTGCATGTCAGAGCAAAAACCAAGCCATGAGGTCGAAGGAATTGTCAGTAGAGCTCCGAGACAGGATTGTAATGAGGCACAGATCTGGGGAAGGGTACCAAAAAATGTCTGCAGCATTGAAGGTCCCCAAGAACACAGTGGCTTCCATCATTCTTAAATGGAAGAAGTTTGGAACTACCAAGACTCTTCCTAGAGCTGTCCGCCCGGCCAAAATGAGCAATCGGGGAAGAAGGGCCTTGGTCAGGGAGGTGACCAAGAACCCGATGGTCACTCTGACAGAGCTCCAGAGTTCCTCTGTGGAGATGGGAGAATCTTCCAGAAGGACAACCATCTCTGCAGCACTCCACCAATCAGGCCTTTATGGTAGAGTGGCCAGACAGAAGCCACTCCTCAGTAAAAAGCACATGACAGCCCGCTTGGAGTTTGCCAAAAGGCACCTAAACGACTCAGACCATGAGAAACAAGATTCTCTGGTCTGATGAAACCAAGATTGAACTCTTTGGCCTGAATGCCAAGCGTCACGTCTGGAGGAAACCTGACACAATCCTTACGGTGAAGCATGGTT